TAGCTTCGCAGGATTTTGTAATATCGTGATGGGTACTGAGGGTGGTAAGCTTTATCAATTATTTCGTCTGTTATTTTTCAAATGACTTATCCCATGTACCATTTCAGAAATACTAGAGCGCTACGTTTCAAACAAACTTGGGGATGATTGTAGTGGTGATGGAAGTGAAGAGCATCCCTACAAAACTCTTCACAGATTGTTTGAGGTCATGACCCTTGAAGAAGTTTCACAATTGAAAATTTATGTGGATGCGACTGAAAAGCCGGAGGAAAAGTGGGCTGAGATATCAAAAACTCAGCTGAAGAAGAAAATGAAAAACTATAAAATTCAGTCGCAGAAATCAGCCGCATCTGGCGAAACTGCTACTGGCACTCCTGCTGAGTCGACTGTTACTTCTGCCCCTTCTGCAGTTGAAATTAAAGAGGATTTGAGTCTGCCTGCAGCTATCAAATCTAAAATTTGCAATCTTCACACCCATTTGGACAAGCGGGTACAAGTTTATGGTTGGGTTCAAGCCATTCGTCGTCAGAGCAAGAAACTCATGTTCATTGTTCTTCGTGATGGAACTGGTTATCTCCAATGCATTCTGGCAAATGGTCTTCCTCAAACAGCTGATGGGTTAGCACTTGCCCCGGAATCAACAGTTTTTGTGAAAGGTGTTGTGTCCAAGGTGCCTGAGGGTCAAACTGCTCCAGGTGGAATTGAGCTTCATGCGGATTACTACGAAGTTATTGGAAAAGCTCCACCCGGTGGTCTGGAATCAGTGGTGACAGAGGAGTCGGAGGTGGATCTTCAATTGGACAACCGTCATTTGATGATTCGTAACGAAAAGCAGTCGAAGATTTTGAAGGTTATCAGTGCTGCATCCCTAGCCTTCCGAGATCACTATAGATCTCGTGGTTTTAAGGAAGTTCAACCTCCAACCTTAGTTCAAACCCAAGTTGAAGGTGGTTCGACTCTCTTTAAATTTGATTACTTCGGTGAACCTTCTTTCTTGACGCAGTCAAGTCAGCTTTACTTGGAGACTTGTATACCTTCTGTTGGAGACTGTTATTGCATGGTTCGTAGCTACCGAGCTGAGAAGGTATGTTGGTGTTTCGTTTGGTTGACTTAATTACCGTGCAGAAATAGTTTGTGAGTTGAAAAGTGGATTTTCGTTGTAGAGTCGTACACGTCGGCACTTATCTGAGTACTTGCATATTGAGGCTGAATCGCCCTTCATAGAGTTCGATGATCTCTTGAACCAGATTGAAGATCTGGTTTGTGATGTAACAGAGCGCGTTATGAAGGAGGTTGGAGACTTAGTCTTGGAGATAAATCCTGTAAGTCGAATTGTTTAGTCACTTCTCCCTTCTTAAATGTATTTATACAAATGCCATTTGTTGGGTGTTTTAGGGTTTCGTGCCACCAAAACGACCTTTCATGCGATTGGAATACCGTGATGCTCTGAAGCGGCTGGAGGCTGAGAAGATTTACAAGGAGGACGGTGAGACGTTCAAGTTTGGTGATGATATTCCAGAGAAACCAGAGCGAGAGATGACTGATAGAATCGGTACTCCTATCCTATTGACCAAGTTCCCTACTGAACTGAAGGCTTTCTACATGCAGCGTGTGAAGAATGATCCATCTGTGACAGAATCGGTTGATTTACTGATGCCCGGTGTTGGAGAAATTGTTGGTGGGTCAATGAGGATGACTGACATTAAAGATCTCCTTGCTGGTTATTCACGAGAGGGAATCGATCCATCTCCCTACTATTGGTACACTCAACAGGTGAGTATCCGCCTTCCTATTAACTTCTACTTTCCAGTCTACTGTGCTGTTACTATCCCTCCTAACTTGTTACTACTCATCGCTTCCTTTCATGTGTCTATTTTCTGCTCTTTTAGCGTGAGTTCGGAACCTGTCCCCATGGTGGCTATGGTCTGGGATTCGAGAGATTTTGCACTTGGCTCCTAGGACAATATCACATTCGTGATGTGTGCCTCTATCCACGATTCACTGGGCGTTGCAGACCTTGAGGGATCTGCCTCCTCGTGTTTACGATTGTGTGAATTATTGGCCTAATTGCAAATGAATTGTGAATGTTAACATTTCCACTTGTTCTACAGGGATGGTATACGCTATCTGGTTAATTGGTTAAGTGGGAAAATGAACGGTAGGGTGTTTTAGGATTTTCGGTTTTAAAATGGTTAGTCTCGAAGTGTAGTATCTTGTCCTTCATGTCAAAGTTCATGTTTAGGCACTTAGACTGATAGAGAATACGTTAGATTGTTTCTTTTACCTGAAATCGAGTGTGAAAAGGATAGTGCTAGGTGTGTTGGTTGTTTTATCCTTTCCTTGCAAAATGCGGTTATTTGTTAATCTTGGCCTCTTGTTAGTTGATTTACTTAGTTTCTTCTCTCGGTACTCTCTCATTTCGTTTTAAAGGATGATGTTTGCGATTATACCCATTTCTAATACCTCAAATGTTGTGTGTGCGAACAAGTTGAGGTCACTGATGGCTATTTGAGAGGAAATTTCATCATTCACTTAGTCATTTTACGTGCTTGTGCATGCGCAATTTGCGCCTAGGCTAATTTTATTGGTTGCCATTTTCGGAGTGGCAGAGACTGTTAATATGGAAGGAATTAAAAGTGGCCGTGTATTGTGAATCTACCAGTCTTGCTTCTTCAATTAAAGGAGATTTTGAAACATGTTGCAAGTTGTTTTGCGCCAGATGAAAACGAAGATGGTAGTAATTACTATAGAGAAAATCCCGCCTTTTCTACTCGAACGAATAGCCTTTCCAATTAAAAGCTTAACTTAGGCAGACCTATTACTATCAATGCTCGCCTTATAGTTGAATCGATTATTTTAAGTACTTTGCGAGAATTTAATACATGCTCTGAGAGACACATTTTGTACCGTGGGTGGTGTTATTTCAAGGTGTTCTCGCTATACTAGACTAAAATGTCTAGTTCCACTCAGTTCATTCAATTTAACTAATTTTGAACTGCAGCCAAAGATATGGCCACTTTCAAAATTTTTCCCCCAACTGCTGAGAGGAAGAAGAAGAAGAATTTCACCAGACTTAGGGAACCAGAGGTGAAGTAACGACAATTCTTTTCATTTTCATATGTAGTATGTCTGAATAACGTCACATGTCATGCGTAGCTTTCTATGTAATGCATTTCTGACCGTTGGAGAAAGTGAATAATCTTCAAAGGAAGATTAGTTCTTGGATGCACTTTGTACCATAGAAGTTCAGGCCTTGCCACTCATTGAGACCACTCGACTTGAGCTCTATTTAGGCCTAAAACAGTTTGGAGGGTACGGCCGTGCCACTGGTTGAGTCGCGTGCATGCAAGGCCGAGAACACAAAGTTTTCTCACTCAACCACCAACCAATCATCGTAGCAACATATCGTGGTAGCAATAGCATTTTAATCGCTTGGCTTGGTTGCTACTACATACATTATGCCTTCTAGTTTATCTAATTTCTGGAGCAATTTAAATGCTCGAAGAGTTGTTAGAAAAGAGGGTTAATGTTTAATTAACGTCTGCTTGTGCAAACTTTCAAGGTTAGGAATTTAAAATGGATTGAAATTATTGATCTTTATGTGAAATTTTCCAATATTTATTTAGTTCAAATGGCAGGTTTTATGGTAGTTATTGGTGGCCCTTTAGCTGACTTCGGGCTTCACAGAGAGGAGGAGGAACCCTTTAGCTGACTTTGGGCTTCACAGAGAGGAGGAACATGAAAGTGACAAAAAGTCGAGAGGGAGGGAGAAGGGCGGGAGATAGAATAATGATTCACAGATGTAAAAGAGACAGTGAGACACAAAGGCAGAGAAAAGTTGTGGAAAATGGCATACAGTGGGGTCAAGGTTGTTTGAAGTCAAAGTCAACTGCTGGTTTATAGATTTTTTTGTCGTATGAGCATATGTTGTCTAGTGGGCACCACGTGGAGGTAAGTCTATCGCACACCCCTCTTTCCCACTCTCATATTCAAAATGTAGTTCTAATTCATTCGATTTCAAAGAAATTATCACATTTGAAACTTGTAGTGTTGGTGCCCCTTCAACGTTTAGAGGGGGTGATTAGTTAGTCGGTACAAGGAGTATCAAGTTGTATTTTTCCTTTTGTTGTTGGAAATGTCATTGTGATGTCATCTTCCCTTTTCAAGTAATGCAAATCCCAGTGCTTTCTTATTTTCAACAGTTCTGTATTGCAGTGCCATAAAATAGAATTAAAAGAGAACACTATTGTCTTTCCACGTGGACTACTCGAAATTCCGACATTATGTTACGAGTGTTAGGCCGGTGGCGATTATTTGCATGAAACTGACCGAATGGTTAATGGCCAAAATACTACATAATAAAAGTTAATTCTAAGTAGAAAATGCATTGCGAATATAATTAAGGAAGTATGTGGTGCATTGGCCACAGTGGATATTCGCCATATGCGAGTTGATGGAACCTAGCCCCATCGATACGCACCCGTTAAGCGGAATGGCCAACCGAGGGCTGGCCAAAACAAAAGGTGGCCCTATTGGTTGTTGTAACGATTGGTCTAATATTTGGCAAATTTGAGATTGGTGGACAACCAACCCCACGTTATATCGCCACGTGGATTGCTGCTGTGGGCACATTAATAGGGTGCAGGGAGCGCCAATCTTCTGTCGCGCGTCTGCCCCTCAGCTTTAGATGTACCGAGAGTATTCGTAAATGTCAACTAAAGTAATCAAATTAAATCTGTATGAGGCGTGGATGCAAGATACTAATTACAAACTACTCATCATCAACAAGCACAGTTCAAGTTCACACTGGGGGCTTGATGAACAAGGTGGAGAGCACTAGTCAGAAATAGGGTGGCCATGCAACTATTGATTAGTCATTCAGCTTGAAAAAGTGATCGTTGCGACTATCTGCAGCATTACAGGTGGCCTAGAAGAAAGAGGTCCCCTGTGAATATGGAAAGGTAAACTAACATTACATTTCTAATCAAAATATGTAATTACATAATATCACAAATAACAAATGCTGAAATTTAGTGTTAACAACCGCATTTAGCAATCACCTCTGGCCAATAATTTTAGCAGGAGCACGGAAAATGTGATTACATTGTTATTTGTTTATGAGGTGATTTCATGGTAATGACTCCACGTATCTGTGGCGTGGGAATTAACATGCTATAGGGAAGGTGAAAGCCAAAAACTACTCCAAATTGTGATGAGCCTGGCAACGAAGCAAATGCAGAGGTGAAAGGAGATAAATTTGTGATTTCCACCTCTTATTAAGGAAATTTAGGCCTGTCATGGATAGGTAAACTTTCCGAAAACAACAACATCCTCCACCAACTGATTAGATATGTATGCCACAGAATGATCCACAAAATTTAATCTTTCTGACAAATAGATTTAGAAAATACAAATAGTATCATAGTGCACTAAGAGGCACCTCAAAGTATAGAGTTGTACTTTTTTGAAAGTTCACCGTGATATAGTTAGGCATATGAGGTGATGAAGGCTGTTTGAAGAAGCATAGTTTGTGACGTCAATAGGGGCAATAGATGAATATGGTTCCCATAAATGTCAATCGTCATGGCATTTATGATTGTATGTTTAAAGGACTGCGAATGGCAGGCAACCCATTGTACTCATTTCATTGGTTATAAAAAATGCTCACTAGACTCATCCACCTTCTTGTTGAGACCACCTATCACGTCGCACTCATCACCTCGGCTACACCCTGCTGCTACACCTGTATTGATAATCTGTCTGCTCTGTTTAAATGAGCTTTAATATTCGCTTTCCATTTACTGCTTTATCTCCCTCTTCACTCACCCCTCCCTCTCTCTACCTAGTGGTCCCTGATCACTGTTTTGATCGCTCCGATTCTAGCAGTATGAAGATCAGTACATTTTATGTCTTAGAAGGGTCAAATATTGATTTCAAATGGCAGGCGTTTTGATATTTATCATTAGGGGATGCGCAATAGACTTACCTCCACGTGGTGCAACCTGGGCAACTTATACTCATACGGCTAAAAAGTCCATTAACTAGCAGTTGACTTCTCACTTCAAACTGCCATCATCCCACTCTATGTCATATTCCACTTCTTCCACAGAACTCACCTCACCTTTTTTTCTACTTTTGTGTCTGTTTCTTTTATAACTTTGAAACACACTTCTCTTCAGTCCCCCCTCTCGATTTTTTTTCACTTCGATTTTCCTTCCTCTCTGTGAAGTCTGAAATCAACTAAATGGCTTATGATAACTATCATACCGCCTGCCTTTTGATATAAATAAATATATTTATATTTATCATTAGCCCTTTAGCTGAATTCGGACTTCACAGAGAGGAGGAACATCATGGTGAGAAAAATTCTAGAGGGGGGGGGGGGGAAGAAGAGTGATTCACAGATGTAAGAGAGACAGACAGACAGGCACAAAGGTAGAGAAAAGGTAAGAGGAGTACTGTTGGAGTGGTGGAATAAGACATACAGTGGGGTCTTGGTAGTCTGAAGTGAAAAGTCAACTGCAGAATAATAGACTTTTTGCCGTATGAGTATACGTCGCCCAGGGTACACCACGTGGAGATAAATCTATCGCGCACCCCAAGGTGGCCAGAGAGTGGAATGAACCCTCGACTAGCAATCAAACCCTCCTTTATCAATCAGATTAAAAGACTGGATAGTGAAATTAGGTAATTGTAGCTCTGAATCCACGGATTTCTGTGTAATCATAGAAGCGGGTTGCACCGTTTTGGCCATCAGTAATTCACAGTTTCCTCATTTGGGAGAATACAGCTTTAAAGGCATCTGCAGTGGAGTTTCAGATTAAGGTTCTCCAAATTGAATGTTTGCATTTGCCTGACAATTCATAAACCCAAGTTGCAGTAACCAGTTTGCATTGATTAGTTGGGGGGGGGGGGGGGGGGGGGGGGGTGAGGAGGTATTTCAGACTTTGCATTTATAAAGTTATAAATAGGCGCAAACTGTGATTGAGTTTGCATATTGTAGGTGGCAGATTGTAAAAGGTAAAACCAAAGCTTTCAGCCAGCAAGACGCCAACAGCCATTATGAAATAGTAGAACAAGTAGATTGGTTCAGATCAATGCGTATTGAATAAATCACAATGAGGAATCCAATGAGTAAAGAGGTGGAGAAAGAGAAGGGAAAGTACAAGCAGGTGAACGATAAGCAAGTGTGGGCTAAAATTGCAAACATGCTTAGTCATTAGACATAATCAATATTATGATTCGTTGCATAAAACTGAACACTTATTGGCTGTAAAGTCGATGCATGCGCGTCGCGTCTGCACTTTCAAGAATAATGTAGACCTCATGAGATCTATTTGCTCATCCCTGATAGCGTTCCACACTCTATAGGACTGTTCTCTCAATTATTTAACAAAAAAACACCTAAGGCACACGATGTTTGAGTGCCAATATGTGGTCGTTATGAGGTAACAGAGTTGTGAAGATCAAAATAAAAATTATAAACATGTGGGTGTATATTAAGGCCAGAATACAAAGTTTTGCTGTATATGGTTTCTGAAGCACTGAATTGCCTATATACTGGAATATACCTTGCATAAGTTCATTCGGGAATCATAATAACACATTATTAGATTTGATTCATTGAACATTAGATTAGGGAGGAGTGAATCAGTAACTGGAAGTACCCAGGTAAGGTTTTTTAATGCCACAACTACATATTCCACTCCACCCAATTTTCAGTATTCCTTCTGCCCACCGTACTTTGCCACCTTCCAATGGCAAAATTAAATGAATCAGCTTCCAACATTGGTATAGTGGTCAACTGGACAGTCCACCAAGTCAGTTGTCACGAGAGTGGTGCTCATCTATGTACATCTGTTGACGTGAGTGCCCAAATGTACTTGTCAAGTCTGAGCAGCAGAGAAGTTGGTAACTTCAGGGCACCTGGTCTCTATTCCAATCAAATGGTGATAACACTTTCCATATTACTCACCCCACCACTGTCACAAACAGACAAGAACTAACGAGGAGACTGGAGAACAGATGGATATATTCAATTGATATACTAATGACAACCAGTTCCAATATCTCTTGTTACTCCTTCATGAAATCGACATGATCTAAATATTTTTCATGAAAAATCCTCAGTGCAAATGGGTAGATAAACCTCAAACTTCAAGGTACTTTTCAAATTTGGGAGTAGAAAAATATCACCCACTATCTTCAACTATCCATTGACGAGCAACTTGAACTAATTTGTAATTTGCAACTCTAATTCATTGATCAAATTCAGTGGGAATTAAATGGAAACCGAGGTAAATACTACAACGACCTCTATATCACCAAGATATTGGTTTCAGAATGTCAGCAAATAGGCTAATTTTTACTGGTAAGAATAATTCAAAATTCGCTATACTACTCCAATCTATAAGTAGAAAGGTTAAAGTAGATTCTCTTCTTGTACAATTGAATATTCCCTCCAGAGGTGAAAACGAAATGGAAATTGAAAATGAGCCAACACAGGCCAACCTTCACCACTCCCTTTCTTTAAATTTCTGTATCCGACCCCAATATGTGTGAACTATTAACCTTACTGTGAGAATTTAGGTAAATTCTAAATTCCTCTTATTAGGATAGTTCCTATGCGAACATTGCGATGGACAGCTCTATGCAAGCCATACACCTTCAATAATGATTGTAGGTGATGGAGAATTCAGGCGATAAAGATGGACGTAGAATCATGGCATCCAGATTTCTTATATGAACCAGATGATGACAATGGAACTTACATCACCCAGAGGATCTTGGTTCAAAAGAGAAGTAGAGTTATAATCACCTGGCTCCCTTTGAGAATAAGTAAGGCTATATGTGCTCGGAATATGGTAAATAATGTATAACTTGCCGAATTTTACCTTACGATGACGAAAAAATTCGACCTCTTCAACTCTCGGGTGGAAATGTCAATTTAACAACAACCATTAATTCAAAGAAGCGTCAAATTATAAATGCACAACTTTACATGATCTTGAGCATAGATATATTACAAAATTTACTACAAACTATTGAATGTACATTATTCATCTAACATCGAATAGCAGTTCCGATAGCCATAAACATTCCGAAAGAACCACCACCTTGTATCATTCCTTTACCGACATTTTGGATAAGCTCTCGACCACGTAAGCCATATCTAAATGGAGAGAGGACAACAAAAGTTAATTTCACAAAAATGCTTATTACCGTAAACAACTGAAACCCCCGAAAATCGCTCCGGTAGCCATGCCAACACAAAATCCCATGAAGAAACCCATCTTCATGCGCTGGAAACAAGACGGTTGACCAGTTTGAACAAAAGCACCTCCACTAGGTACTGGCATTTTTCTAAGAATAGGTTGAGAAAATCTATAAAATGCGAGGATAGAGAGCATATGAAGAAGTAAGAACACATAGTGTAGAATGGCAAGTAGTTTACTGTAATCAAATAAGAAAGTTATAAACAAATGCAGTCCAAAATTAGCCGCCGAAGAACCTAAATTAGCTAAAGTTAACGGACAAAAAAGTAGTACATACGTGCACATCAAAATGATAACGACCAAATTCCACAACCCAATAAATAATCTGAAGTAACGGACATTATTAATAAACTCCTTTGCTTTCGAAGCTAACTAAAATTAAAGGGTAGAAATATATATTCAAACCTAAAGAAGAAGCTTCATCATCAAAAATGGGATCGGGTTTACTAAACGAATAAGTTAAAAAAGCTAAATTACAAGTTGAAATTTAACACAGCGATTCCATTTAAAAATAATGTGCTATAAATGTAAGATTATCGTAATTAATCAAACCTAGCAACAATAATATCAGACAACATAGAAACCACGAAAATATAGAAGTCATATATGTTCAAGCACAGCGGTATTTGATAATAATTACAACAACAAATAATTTAGCAAAGAACATAGGGTTTGACTATTTTTTCGATTTATGATGTAAATATGGTTGATTTTATTGCATTTCTTTACATTACATTTACATTACATTTACTCAACAAGTAATTTGAGGCAAATAGTATTTCAATGAGGGGTGTGCGATAGACTTACCTCCACGTGGTGCA